GTACACACACACACACCACACACACACATATTCATACAATATACCTACTACGTGTGTGGCTCAGGGCTGGCGGTATCAGTCGCCCTTACAGTTTAACAGTGTTTCAATTCACTTTTGAATTGTGCCTTCGATTGTCACGTTGCTCGTGGCGAAGAAAATGGGCCGAGTTGCCTTTTTGACATTTGAGTTTAGAAACCGATCTGCAACAGCCCTGGCAGTACTCTTCCTAATCCGTTGTTTCATCATCAGCAACAAACAGCAACAACAACAGCAGCAGCAGCAGCAGCAACAACATTTACAAATGTCTCCCTTTGGACGCCGCCAGGCTAATTACAGCCACTGTGCGCCAAGCCACGCCTCCTTGCCGCCCACATTAGCTAATTATTTAAAATGCTCACAGACATTAAAAAGCACTTTCACCCAAAAACTGGAATGATAATCGCTGACGTTACGTCTGCGTTACGTTGTCTTTACCTAATACTCATCCTGCTCCGCTTCCGTCGCCTCCGTCGCCTCCTCCTCCCCCCAATTTGTTGTGCCCCCCCTCTCGCTCAGCTGTTATTGTTTTTGCGCTTGTTTAGCCGTTGTTGGTGCTTTTGTGGCTTTTTTGATAATGACACTGATTAGTCAGCGCTTACGACAACTTCACGATGTCTTCTTATTTATTTTGTTCTTGTTTCTGTTTCTGTTTCTGTTTCATTTTCATTTGTTTCGGTTCTTTTTCTGCTTCTGCTTCTGCTTCTGCTTCTGGTTCTCTTTCTTCTTCCTCTTCTAGTGTTCTCGGTCTGTTTCTTATCTATGATGGCACTGCTTGTCGCCTGTTAACGGTCGCTGGAACAGCTATCAGAGACTTTAAAGCCTCCCTTCTGAATGACGCAATCATCCAATCCTCCAATCCTCCAATACTCTCTGGCTTACTATTACGCTCATATATCAGCATGAACGACCTTTCGCATAATTTGCCAATTCTGGGCTGTCTATTGGCCCAAACGACCTTCCGGACCCACCCTCTCCTCCCCCCCTACACATATTCACAAATACCCACAACATTCGTGCCAAATTTAGAACTAATTAATCTTTTATTCCCTCCTCCACATATTTGAGAAGCACTCAGAAAAAAAATCGAACGGATTCTTAACTCACCTTATTATTCAAAGGGTATATTTCGAAAACAGAAGCTTGTGTTCTTAAAAAAACCTGGGTTTTCCTATTTTCAATTCACGGGTATATTTTTCTACAATTTAAAAAAAGATGTCTAATTTCTTAGGTGTTTTCTTTCTTAAGTTTCGCCAAGTCTACTCTTTATAAATATTTCTATTATTAAATAATATCTTTCGGAAAAAAAGAAAAAGCTTCTCTAAGAGTATCTTTGTTTTCCTTTTTTTAGAAATTTGAAATTGAAATTTGTAAAAACCAAAAAATTTTCAGTTTAAGGCGAAATTCTGAATTACACATCTTGTTTTTTTCTCAGTGTACTAGTGACGAAAGCAACATAATTCCCGTCAAAGTATCTGATCCTGAGATTGTTACGAGTTTTGATGCAAAACACTCTAATGAAAGTTTATCAGCCGAATCAAATGGTCATTTAACCAGAGCTATAGCTCCATTGGATGCTGCTCTTAAGGGCAATATAACTCTTTGTGTCCCGTAAAAGAAAAGACAACAAATATTTGTATACCTTTATAATACATCTGATGATGTTAAGGAATTTATTCGGGCTACATCTAAAGCCAATATTACGTAAAGCTCTTAACTATTGTGGGGCATAATATCCATCCATCCATCGAATATCTGTCATATGCATTGTTTTCTTTGTAATTGTATTTATTTTTAATAGCCGTACTTTTTTAGCATTTCGCTTAAAATGAAATATTTATGTTCCCACCTAATCAGCTGCATGCATGGCTAAGATTTTCATATATTTCGATTGGCACCCATGGATACAAAATGTTTGTTTTGAGAGAGTGATATACGATAAATAGTAAGATGAAAGGGGCGCGAGGGGCTAAAACAGAAATTAGCTGGCGCTGTGTGTATTCTATAAATTATGTGAGCTCTCGACTATTTTTATGTCTAAGCATAAACATTTCCATCATTTCAGATATGTATTATTTGCTATTTTGCCATTGTAGTCCTAGGATGTGCCTGCATTGTGCAAAACAAACAAAATTAAATGATGTAAAAGCGAATATCTTGGCAACGCCGAAGTTTAGATACCCTTGTCCAACTTTCCCTTGTCTAACTTTATATATATAAATGGAGTCCACGACAAAGTGAGCATGCCCTACACAAGTGTATAACAAATACAGGCAGAGCGAAATTGTTGTGAGGTAATTTCAATTACCTAATTGCTGGTAGTAAACTTAAATCAGTCTTAAATTCAAATTTGATAAATTGTAATCAATTTTGGGAGTAAACACAAATGCAAAATAAACAGCGCAATCGGAAAATTTGTTAATGAATAATGATTTTTTAGTTGTTCTTTTAAACACATTGCGAAGAGCAAATGGTAAATTCAGATTCAAGAGATTTGAATGGCGTTCATTAAAAGCAAGCATTAAATACATCTAAGTTTATTTATTGCGCAATTCATTTATAATTTTATGGTTTAATATTTTCCTAGTTTATTGCCAATTTTATGTTCAACTTTAAAGTGTTAAACGGCAAAATGAACTGAAGACTATTAAACCAAAGAGAGTGCAGAAAGATTGTAGAACTCAGAATCAGAATTGTTAATCAATGATACAACATACTGAATTTCTGGAAAATACAACATGTTTTACTCGAAATGTATCAAAATATTGTATTTTTAGCCTTTGACTCAGAATCAATTTGGAACAATCTTTATTAATGATTCAATTTCTTTATAAATTGACATAAAAGGTATTTATTTATTGTTCATGGAGTTGACGGAATTTAAATTCAAGTTGTATCAATGTGCTCCACATCCTGCTGGTGACTCAAAGTTATTCTATTGCTCTTAGAAGAGGCAAATGTCTCCCAGCCAAACTCAACAATTCTTATTCAGAGCACGTGGCTTGACTGGGCAACATTCACCTCTTCTAAGAGCAAATGTGGTTTGTGAGAACTCTTCTGGACGTCTCCGGATAAGGTTTGAGACAGATGAAGGATATATAAATATAAACACAGTAAGCTAAATTTAAGAATCGGTTTGAGAAGGCTGAAGAATATATAAATATAAATGCACTAAACAAAAATTGAATAACAAGAGCTCTAAAATTGTGTGAAAGATTCAGATTTTTGCTTTCATAAAGAATTTTTTTGATGGCTTGGAGTGGACAAAACTTGTGGGAAAAGAATCTTTTTGATTTGAATTTTATTTGTTGCTAAAATCTATATAGATTTGCTGAGTAGGTCAAAATTCTGATGATTTTATTATTGATGTTCCTTCTCCCCCTGTCCCTCTCTCTCTCTCTCTCCCTCCAGATATAGCTAGCTATTGGGTCTCCAGCGTTCTCGCTCAAATTAACACTTATTGGCTGCTTGGGTCCCGGAGCTATAAAAACTGACTGGGCAATTAACAAGCGTGCCAAAACAACAACAACAACAATAGCAACAACAACAACAACAAATTTAAAAAACAAAACAAAATAAATGTAAATTCCTAACTGGGCGAGCAACTCTCAATGAATGCCGCATACAGGCAAGGCGGCAGGACACCCATCCATGCCATGCCGGGAGGAGAAGGGGGGTCGGAAGGGGAGGGGCGTCGCGACGGTGCCGTGGTCCGTTATGTGTTTGGTGCTGCTGCTGAAGGTGATTACGTCATTTAAAGACACGCAACTTGGCAAAAGGCAAATGTTTTCATTATTATGTTACGCGAGTGCTGCTGCTGCTGCCTCTGCTGCCGCTGCTGCCTCTGCTGCCGCTGCTGCCTCTGCTGCCGCTGCTGTTGTTGTTGTTTGTTGGCTTGTTTGCTTGGTTGTTTGATTGACTGACTGACAGCAGTGCGTACGTCAGACCAAGCGCTCACTGCTTGACGCACGCGAAGTCCATTCAAGCAATCTGACATGCATTGAGATACGAATTTTTTCTGCTTTTGATGGGCTTTTAATTCGATTTTTGTCTTTTTTCTCTTAGATATTTTAAGCTACCGTTTACTCTTTCTTTTTTTTTGTTTTCAATTTAAAACGCCTGATATTAGGCAATGCTTATTGTATGTAGTTGACGTTGTTGCTGCTGTTGTTGCTGTTGCTGCTGTTGTTGCTGTTGGTTGTTGAGTAAGTTCTTGTCCGTGGTGCAGCTTTTAACACGCATACAAGCGCAGCTAACACTCAAACAGATGCGTCCGCTCTCAGCTCGTCGCTGTCGGTGTGCGTGTGGTGAAAAGCTTGCCGCGCCAGCAGCGTGTCTTCGTGTGCTATGCTGTGCCGTGGTGTGTTCTTGTGTCTCTGTGTCTCTGTGTGTGGTGAGTTTTTGCATTCGTTTGCGCTAGTGTGCGTTATATAAGTCGGCAATGAGCCGCAACCCGCTGCTGTCCCCACATGTGACGTGCAGAACAGTAAATACATATATACATACACATATATATGTATGTATAGATATTCACCACTGGCTGAGTTGGCAGCTCTATGCAGCCATTCATACTGCATGGCCCAGTACTTGTCCCTGTGTATATGTAGTTGTCACACTCACACACACACACACACACACACACACACGCACACGCTGAGGGAGCAGGACTGAGAGACTGGGAACTGAGACACACGGCTCTCATCTGGCACACCATTAAATGTTTGTTGGTTGGTTCGCTCGTGGAACGTGGCAACGCTTTCAGTCGTTGATTTGACCGCCAAACAAACGCAACGCAACTCGCGGGTGCCACGTCGAACGTACACAAGAAAACAACAAGAGCAGCAACCGCAGTCAAAACGCAGCCAACAACAAATAAGCCAACAAAAACAGCAACAAATAATAATAATAAAATATTTCATATAAATCGTTATTTTTTTTACATTTTTTTTCTGAAATTCCAATTTTTTGCACAATAAGTGCCTTAAAAAAATTGTTGTAAAACTGAAGAAAGTTTTGAAATGTAAGGAAAACAAGTGAAAGTAAAGAGATAAACAAAAGGTCCTTAAAATAAACAATTCAAATGACAACAAAAGCAAAACAAAAATATGCCAACATTGCAATATGCAAATGAAAACATAAAACATGAAACACACTCAGCAGCAACAACTCACAATAACAACAATGATAACAACAGCAACAGCAACAGCAACAGTAACAATAACAATAACAATAACAAAAGCTAAACAAATGTGCAGCTAAGCAGGCAATGATAAAGCCGACTCACAAAACAAAAGGACAAAACATCAAGTGTTTATTTGTCACTTGCGATAAATATGTGTATTTTTATATTCGTATTTGTGTTTGTGTTTGTGTTTTTTACTTTTTATTTTTTGTTTGTGTTGGTGTTGCATGCTTTTGTGCTGCGCCAAGCCCTAAAACAGATTAATTTTTTTTATATTTTTTTTGTACACATAACAAAAATGGGAACCCCATCGCGCTGAACTATATATACATATATATATATATATATATATATATGGTTCTGAGGAGGGGTTGGCATTCGAAACGCTTACAAGACTTGACCCAAATTTACGTAGTGCGGTCCAGCCAACGCAGCTCGAACGGGCTGCAGGTGGAAGCTGCGATGTGACTTGCACAGTCAGCCAGCTAGCACACAGACACAGACACAGACAAACACACACACACACACTCACACACACCCACACACACACATGCACATACAGAGCGAGAGACACAGGCATACAAAGAGACAACGTGCAAGGATTATGTAAACAAAAATAAGTTGATTCGCTTCCACGCAAACAGCAGGTGCTGCTTCTGCTGTCTGTCCGTCTGCCCGTCTGTCTGTTCGTCTGTTCGTATGTCCACCTGTCAGTCTGTCATATTGTAAGTCTGTCACTCTGATGAGTTGCCTTTTCTCTCTGAACCCTCTGAACCCGCAGCGCACTCTACCTCAATGGGTGCAATCACCCACACAAATGCCATGTAATCATAATAAATACAAAGTGAACAAAGTGAAAATATATATATATATATATATATATATATATATATATAAAGCAGAGACAGGTGGGTGTGGGGGCGTGGAGGGTCTTTGGTGTGTGGGTAGGTGTTGCAAGTGCAACTCAATCTGCGGCTGGATGCCATAATGCTTGCGTGCCGAGCGTCAATCGGGTGCTGCCCATTGTGGCAACAACAACAACAACAACAACAAATGCCACAGCCACTGATTCGGCGAGTGCCTTTTTAATTTACATCAATTACCAAACAATTGGCCATGCAGCAAATCGCTTTGCATTCTGAATTTTGAATTTGTTAGTTAATTGGCCAGTCAGTTTACCACTGACGGCAATTTTAATTCGATTAAATTTGATTACAGTTTATATCTTCGGCGATAAGCTGGCTCAGAACTAGTCAGCCACTATGACTAACGGCATCCGTAATGCTTGAAAATATAACTTGTATAATAAAATCTAGAAATGAATAGAAAATGTTCATTGAGTTGAATATATATTCAATAGTCTTTCAATCTTAATATGTAAAATGTGCAATTTGATAGAATGTACAATATATAAATATGTAAATTTATATATTTAAATATAAACTTTTTACGAATCCATTTTCAGGCTCTGTTTTGCACATTTGTTGCCTTTACTACCCATTTCAAGATTTCACTGTGCATAATATTTCAACAATGACAGCAGCCAAATAAAAATGAAATTATAGCCGAGTGGGCTCTGGACTCAAGTCGGCGACTTGAAGATACCCTGTAACATGAAGCATGACAAATGACTTCAATTCTCCCCATGGCCATATTTGGTTCATAATTATATACCACATATATGCATATATATGTTGGCCAAGTCAATGCACAGGGTATGCAGATTAATGTGGCGGGTACTTCATTACTCGTATTCCGCATTCGCATTCGCATTCACAGAAGTAATCACATTCATACGAGCATTTGTTATGACTGGTCGGCCATTCGAGTGCCGTACAAATATAATTTACAATCCATTTAATTCAAATAACTCGCAGGGCGATGGGATTGGGGCTTGGGGGCTAAGGGGCTTAGGGGTTTAGGTTAGTAACAGCGCCATTGCGACAAAGTTGCCAGTGTTGGCAAGTGTTGCAAATAAGAAAATACAAAAAAGTGTAGCATACGCGCAGGCTGCAAATCTTTTGAGGGGCCGCCCAAAGTGAAAGATGAACACAAAAATGCTGCAATAAAACTGCAACAGCATGAAAAATAAACGTTGCAGCAAAAACAAAACTAACACACACACACACCACGCATATAACACATGCACACACACACACACACACACATATGCAAAGTTGGATAGACATTCATTTAGATAAAAAGAGTCGAGTTACACCTACGAGTCAGCTAGAGGCACGATTTGAGTGGGCGGCGGGTTATTGCTGTGGGTGCTGTTGCGACTATCTTCATCTCTGTCTAACACTGCATTAGCAGCCAACTGTGAACGAAATAAACGCAAAAATATTTTTAGTGCGAAAAATTTTGCAAAAGCGGAAAACGAGAACTGAAACACTGAGAAAACTTTTCGCACGGCATAACATACGAACGCACACAGACAAGAGCCATACACACACACACACACACACACACACACACTAGAACATACGACCACCTGACAAGATAACGGACTGGCACACACACACACACACACACAAGGTAAGTCGGAAATGCCAATACCTTGTGTGCCAAAAAAAACAAAGTCACCCGAGGAGAGCCCGTTTGTGTTGCTGTTAATATGTGTGTGTATGTCGGTGTGTGTAGGAGTGACTGTGTGGGTGTGTGTGTGTGTGTGTGTGTGTGGGTGTGTGTAGGAGTGAGGGTGCTGTTACTGTGGCTAGTGAGCGTCACTTCGGTCAGCTTTGTAAACAAACAGCTACAGAATGAACTATAAAAATAGTCGAATGCAATTTTTACAGATATAGTATTGTTATCACTATTCTCTATCAGAAATATATATATATATAGTATTGTTATCACTATTCTCTATCAGAAACATCATACATTCAAGAATCAAAGATTCAGGTGAATTATATTTATGAACTTAATTGTTCACAAACTGTTAATTAATATCCAGTTATTAAATAAGAGTGGGGAATTGAAATACTTTTAACAAAAAACAATTTCCTTGGATTCAGAATTATTTGTTAGAAAGAAGACAAAGTAAATAACTGTTTATTTTAGGTTATGTCTGAAGAATATGTGTAGGCTGCAGATACTCAAGATGCTTGTGGCACATCAAAAAGCGTTGCCTACTTTTATGGGCTGGTTAAATGTGTGTTTTTGATTTTTTGGCTGCTGGGCCGCACTTTGAGAACCACAACTTGGTGGCACCGGGGCAGCCTTGATAAAATAGTTGTGTGTAGTTGTACTTGTTTGTGCTGCCGTTGTCTGCGTCTAAAATTAACAGCATTTATTTCATTGCATTTTTATGCGCCTCATTGCGGGTGACATTGTCAACATTGCCGTTGCTGTTGCCGTCATCATTGTCATCGTCACTCGTGTCTGTGCCAGGCAAAACAAAGGCAACTTATTTTTATGCGATGCGCGTCAGCCGCAGAGACAACAGAGACAACAGCAGCAGCAGCAGCAGCAGCAGGCACCAACGCCACGTACAATGCTATAACTCAGCTGCTACCCCAATCCCCTTATCGTTCGTCTTCATATGCAGGGTTAAGTTTTTGTCTTTTTTGTGTTTTTTTTTGTTTGAGTTTTTATGCGCTTTTGTTAGCAACAGCTTCTCGTTCTGGCAAATTTTTAGTTGTTGCTGTTGCTGTTGCCGTTGCCGTTGGCAACTGTCATGAAAAGTTCGAGTCTAGAGTTGACCTGAAATGCGAAAAATGTGAGCTATGTGCGTGTGAGTGCTTACTGTGTGTGTGTGTGTGTGCATGTGTGTGTGTGTGTGTGTGTGTGTGCATGTGTGTGTGTGTGCTATGTTGTGTCGTGTTCATTATTCGATGTCAGCTACGGCAAGGCTGTTTCTCAAATTGAACAGTAAGCCAAGCCGGCCACACCCCCAAGCAAGCTCTGCCAGACTCATCAAAATGTCGACTGTTGGCTTAGAGTTGGATATCATGTAAATTGCACAACTGAGCAAATTAATTGTCTCTGCCGAGAGGGAGAGAGAAGAGACGTGATCCATTATGCTTGATAAATGCACAGCACAATGGATCAATCTAAAGACCCTGTCAGCCCGTCAATCTAGCTATATTGCCGTCTAATTTCGTGATAACTATTCAAAAACATTTCGTGAGCTCCAATGACAATAATATATTAAATGCAGTACTGTTATGATACAGGACTCTTGTTACATATTGTTAGTAATACTATGCAATTGTGAACGCTAAAAGCATTCAATTTATGTATTTAACGCAATAAAATTCCAGTGAGAATTGGCGCATTTCTTTGTTTCACTTGTTGTTATTGGCATAATTGTTGTTGTTTTTTTGTTGTTTTAAATAAATATTATAAAGCAAATTAAAATACTTATGGAAAAGTTGTAAACAACAAAACTTGAGCAACTTTAAAGTTTGGCCCTAAAGAGCAATAGCAGTCAAGTGTAGTCAAGAGGTGCAGTAATACAAACGAAAAAAGAGAAAAAAACCAGCAGCAGCAACAGCAGCAGCAGCAACAGCAGCAGCAACAGCAACACCAACATGGGAAAAAAGAGCTCGAAATTGAAACAGGATACCATCGATCGTTTAACAACCGACACATATTGTGAGTACCCATCCATCAACAATATCATATTGTAATGTTTTTTAGCTACTAGATTATAATTATTTAATTGGCTGCTTATTTACTTAAATTAATGGCACGCATCAATCAAGCTAAACAATTTCCATACTACACAAATAAAATCGCACAACAGAAAATAGAAAAGAAAAAACATTTAAATACAAATAGAAAGTGCAGCATTTCTGTGGTTGCAAAGTGGAACGTTTGCGTGGTTGAGGCACTCAACCAGCTTGTCCCTAATCTAAACAGTTTTGCCATAGCTTGTCCCACGTTTTGTATGTTAATTGTTAGTGTTATTGTTGCCGGCACTTCAGCAGTGGAACGCTAAGAGCTCGTCTTTGTATAGCATTCAGTCGGGGCAATTAAAAGCAACGCACTTATCAATTAGCCTACGACACGGACCAAATTCACTTCCTCTTCCTCTCACTGTCCTGCTGACGAGGGGCAAACACAAAAGACACGAAACGGGTTGTGCATTATTCTAAAAGTGTTGAATCGACATAATTCAGGGCAGGATAACATCGGGACAACAACACAAGGCACGCAATCCAAATCCAAGTCCATCCTTGCCATCGTAGACCAAAACATCTGTCCGTCCATACATAATCCCGAAGCCAGCTCTGGCCAGCTCTGGCCAACTCTGGCCAACTCTGGCCAACTCAGGCCAACTCAAACTGATTATGGCGCTAATGACCCCCTTTTTCCTTTATGTCGCTTCCTATTTTTAGCAGAGTCTTACATTCACTTTACCAGGCTTAATTAATGTATTCTACCCTGTAGCCCAAAGATATGCAGGTATATGGAAAGTAAATTGGATAAAACGATTAAGTTGACCAGCCGCACCGAACCGTTTCGAAGTTATTAAAAGCAGGGTGTTAAACCGGAACCGGAATCGTAACTTGAGTTTCAGAACTCCAACCGAAAATTAACATTTTTTTGATAGGGCATTTACTGCACTGAGAAAAAACACCTTCGTGCCGAATCGTCACTTACCTTCAGAAAGTATATTTCTTAAATGAAATCTTCTGTCTTTCTAAAACCAGCATTTTTATTTTCTTAATTCCAGGATAAATCTTACTAAATAAATTTAAGAAAACAAATCTAACTTTCGCGCTGTTTTTTTTTTTTTTTAATCTACACACAGAACTGTCGCATTAGCAGTCCAGTTGCTTTTATTATTATTAAACCATACTATTTTAAATATTTAAAATTTATTTTTAAAAAATGTCAATTTTTTTTCTGAGTGTGGAAAAAATGTATAACCAATTTATAAATGTTGCGTACAGAGACCGTAACCGCAACCGAAATATGATTCGGCTTCACATCCTGGGCAAAGCATAAGATATTTGACTGTTTGGATCTTTGAAATGCGGTATAGACTTGGAGAGATATATTGTGTCCTGTAAAGGGTATTCGGCTTTACATTTGTTATTTTTCATGTATATTTTTATTTATATTCTTTGTGGGTTACTTAAAAATGCAAGTCAGCAACTTTGCGCCTTCAAACTTTGTTGACTAATTGCTTTTTAAAGTATTTTTCGCATTTCGTGCTCCGCTGATGCCTTTTGCGGACCGCAACCAATGTTGAAGGCAACAGACGGCCATATAAATAATTACATTGCCGAGGGGCATTTGGTGGTGCACCTGCTTGGGTTGGCAGTGGAGGGTGCTCTCAAAGTGTTGACAGATTACTGCCAAGTTCTGCCAGTTCTTAATGTCCTGGTCCAAGCAATTTGTCTTGCGCCTCTTGGGTCGAGCTCGCCTCTCGATTCATGTACATCTATCTCTCTTTCTCTCTCTCACTCTCTCACTCCTGTCTCTCTCTCTCTCTCTTTCTCTTCAGTGTAAACAGTGCCCTAAGAAAACAACATTTTGATGAAATTTATTTGCCACTTTGCTGTGCAACTCAATAATCTACAAAATGCTCTGCACAAATAATTATAAATGGTTATATACGGCTAACGAGTGATTATCTCAGATTAGAGCTTAGCGAATATTATAGCTCAAATGCAATCAGTTGCAGTTCTTGGTTACGTCTCTGGCCATATAAATTTGCCGTAAGTTTGGGCCTTGTCCCTTCAATTTGGAGCGAATAACTTTTGCCCAAAGCCCATCAATTCAAAATTCGAAATTGCTTCCTGCACCTGATGCCAGCTTTAACAACATCAACATCAACAACAACAACAACAAAAAGTAGAGGAGGAGAGACGAGTGAATTCAATTTTATTTATTCGGCAAACAAATGAACTGAAATTCAATTTATGAGCTCAGTGAGACATCGGTTCGTATGCGCAATATGGAAAAGTTTTGAGCCCCGGAACACCTAGTCGGGCTCAGCATTGTAGGCCGTTCATTGAGTTGCCGGTTTGCCAATCAATTGGGAATTACATAATGATACAGTTTATATATGTGCACACACACACACACACACATCATACATATATACAAGCCAATATATATGTTTGGCTGCACTCCCACTGTGCCGTATTTCAGCTGATGGCAGGCCAACGAATGAATAAATAAATAGCTAAAAAATTTGATTAGTTTCGGATGGGTTGCGAGAATCGAATGACCCCAGCAATAAAATGCAAATCCCAAAACTGTGTGTGTAAAATAGATACAAATTACGGTCGGCACTGGACAGGGCATGGCAGGGCATGGCAGGGCAGGGTAGGGCAGGGCTGGTCGAGGGCAGCAATCGGGATGGGGTCATCGTTAGGTCATTGGTAGCCACAATATTCTATAAATAAACGGCATTCTCAACTGTATGTATGCTGTCTGCTCTATGTGTGTGTGTGTGTGTGTGTGTGTGTGTGTGTGTATTTGTCACTCTAGTTGGTTGTTTGTCTGTCTGTCTGTCTGTCTGTCTGGGTGTCTGAGTGTCTCGGTCCACAGGTGTTTGCTATTGGCCATGCTTTACCTGACGGCGAATTAGCAAGTTTAATTGATTTTAAAATCGTTCCGCAAACAGACAGACACACACACACACACACACACACACACACACACACACGCACACACACAAACAGGCACACAAACGCATGCAGAAATACCTCCAGATGTGTCCAATTTGTCAAGCAATAAAACAACACGGTCATTAGTCGAGCAAAGTGAAAGATAATCTATGTTGGGCATTAGTGTAACTGATTTATTTTGGATTGCAGCTAAATGGCGATTGTGACGTCTGATAACCCACATGGCCTATTGGATTACAAGCCTCACTTGTCTGACTTACACTTGATAACTTTTAAGCTTGCTCACGAGCAAACTGTGTTCAATTTGCAAATCGCTTTGGGTATTTGAAACTGTCATTGATTTTGATTGGATTCACATTTAAATTGGGTGTATTTTTGACCAGAGAATAACGGAATCGTTTGTAAGCATCTCCTGCTATCAATTGTTATTTTTTGTTAGCGTATTTCTCAACTGCTAATCCCAAAGCAATTTTGGTCATGTAGAATAATTTCTACATATTAAAATGAACCACATTTTTTATGTCAAACATTTTAAAATGCATCTATAAAAGTCATCCTGAACTGAACTTAACTTTGTCGAAACTCTACCAAAGTGTTGTAAAACTCGTTGAAGACCTTCATTGCTGCAACAGCAGGGTTACCTTAATAGCCGAGTAATAATTCCTAAATCGTTTCAAATCCAATGATAATTTTACTATATGGCTCTTTAGCTACACTTTCGGTTGCCACAAGAATGTGTATATGTTTGTCAGTAATTGTTTCGATATGGCTCGCCACGAAAAAGAAGAAAATATTGCCCAGCTGCAATCGCAAGTGAAATTAAATGAATCATACAGAAATACACACAAGAAAGTAAGAGATACCGATATACTTTCTACCATCCGAGACAGATTTTTACAAATGATTTACTATTTCTTTAAATTTGTTGATTTTATTGCTGTTGGAAATCAATTTCTAATCGCATCCTTGCCGAAATTCAGAAATTAGTAATCAAATTTGCTGTCTCGGTTGCTATTTTGGAGCTTAGTTGTCGTTTTGGATATTTACTTTCTGGATAGTTATGTGAATTTTCCTCTTTTGAGTGTACAAATGGAGAGAGGGCGGAAGTGCATTTTGATTATTCCCCATTTTACCCATAATGAATGGGTTCAGGTATAAAAATGGGAAACCGATTCGGAAATATTTCGAGTCTTTACGCTGCTGTCTGTGTGCAGAATGCAATTAAAATGGCGTTGTAAACACATATATTGATGGCAGAGATTACACACATATTTCATGTAGCGCGGAGAGTCGCAGAGAGAAAAAGTGGCAGTGGCAGTGGCAACATCGACATATGTCTATATATATATGTGTAGATGCCTCACTGCGAGGCACATATGAATTTATGCGGGAGTTGTTTTTGTGGGTATTTTGGGGAAATGAAAATCAGAAATGCAGTTCGACTCACAGTTTCGCAGTGTGCACGGTTCCATTCGAGCGGCAAGGACAATTGCCGCAAATTCTCGATGATGCCACATCGAGTGTGCAGCATGTGGCTGGCTGATTGCAAGATTGTAGGATTGCAACAAGCAGACAGGATATTACATCGCATCTGCTGGTAAAGCTGCAGCTCTCCGCCAGACAGCTGGACCCACATTGTGCATGAGTATCAGTCGAAGGAGATATTTTGAAGTGTTCCGCACTTATCACGCCAAATTGACATCAACTTGTTGTTGGACAGAGTGCTGAAGCAGCATTATTAAATGCATTTAATGGATTAATTACTAAATAATTCACTCATCTTAAATGGCAAGCACTTAAACATGCTGTTGTTCGCATGTCAGCATAAACAAAATAATGCAATTAGTTGCTGGGCTTGCTTCTAACGATAAACAATTCTCGATTTGGACAAACTGGTAATAAAAGCGCCTTAAAACACAGTTTTCAATATGCTAATTGACAGACAAAAAGGGAACCGACATATATTCTGATTGAATTGAATTGAATTTAGCCTTTATCGATCTGATCTTACATTAAACACACTCAAATCGACCTCAGTCGATGAGAAAGCTGTTTGATGTCAAAATCATTCAAAGGTGTATCTTGAGATGTGTATAAATAGCGACGGAATAGCACAAGCAGCGTCATCGACTGACAGAAACAGAAACAGAAACAGTCGTTGATGGCGTTGGCAACAAGTCGTATGAGCAATATGCGCTTTATTTACAATCCACACAACGCACACATTGGGCCAGTAAATGATGTTTTATTTTGACATGGCACACGTCAATAATACACGGCAATACGAGCGGACACAAAGCCACATGGTGGGATGAATGCGAACGAGTTGTTGCTGTTGACTTGCCCCGACTCTCCTCAACCACCCCCTGTCTGTCACTCTGTCCATCTCTCTGCCTCCCTGTCTCTCTGTCTGTCTGTTTGTCTGTTTGTTAGTCTGTCTGCGTGACGGGCTATCGATTACCAATCAATTCAGTACCAGCTTTGGCAATTGTTGACTTTATTCGGTTGCCGCCGCCCCGTGGATGAATGCGGATATTGTGTACATACACCAACACCTACAAGACAAAGGAGCCGTATAACTAATTATAGTAAAAACATCGAAAAGTTGCCACTTGAGTGGCTGAGCCATGTCGAATGATGATGATACGGAAGACATCGAAAGATGGCTCACAGCTGTGCCTTGCAACAAGAACACAGAAGGACGTGCCATAACGGCATGAAAAATGACAGTGGTTGGCATTTGGGTAGCCAGTTGACCGTGCAAGGCAGTCAATACTGTGCTGTGCCTCTGTGCTGGTCCTGGCGTTGCTTTTTTCGGTGCCCATCACCCATGGGACTCGAGTGGTGTCCATTGGCCCGGCGCTTAACGGCAATTCCAATGTGTGTAATTTTGCGTGAATTTATGTTTTGGTCTCTCTAACAGTGCTCCTAACCATTTTTTTGTTTTTTTTTTTTGTTTTGTTCGAAAACCACACGCCTCCTCCACCGTTGCATATCCCACACGTAGCTGGGAGCTCCGAGCTTGTGGGCGGCACCGCCGTAACATGTGCGCCATTCACACGCTCATAACGGTCACAATGGGAGCTGGGCGCCGGCCTGGGATCGGGAGACCGTAGCTTAAACGTTTTGTAAACGGCCATTAGGCCACGGCGATGGCAACCATGACCAAAAATAATAATAATAATAAAAAAAACCCCCCAAAAAAAAAAGGAAAAACCAAGAAGAAGAACAAAACATAAAACCAACCAAAATATAGAAATGTTAATGCATAGAGGGAAAATTTGTTTGCCTTGGGCGTGGTCACAAGACAATGGAGAAAATGTAAGTACAAACGCTTACTGAAGCTGCCCGAGTGTAGACCACATTTGCCAGGGGCCAGCGGCCAGCGACCGGCGGCCCAGGGCCCAGGGGTCAGGGGTCAGGGGCCAATGAATGAGTGTATTAGTGAAAGTAACGCATGTGGCTTACTTTAAATTGTTTATGAGTGTGGTGCCGACCAGTCTCTTCGGGGAGTTTAAGTAAGAGCAGGCGGGGTGGGGGAGGCGCACCTATTCACTTGGTCATTAATTCCATAAAATGAACCACTGACCAACTTGACTATGAGCATAAGTTAAATTTATGTTTTATTTTGCTAATTACCTGCGAGACTGCGAGAAAGTATTATTTCCAAGGTTCAATGCGAGTGGCTTGTTTTATGCATTTAACATTTGAAGTGCTCGCTCGAGCTCAAGGCTCATATTCTCCAAATATTCTGCAAGCAAAATTTGTGCGATAAATTGTGAAATGAAAATTGTTAGTCGTCTAAACTTATTTAATATTTAATTTCAATCATAGACAATCAATGAAATCGTTTTTTTCCTGTTTGATTTCCGGTAAAGCTTACATATTTGTCACTCAACATTTTTTCCTGTGGAATTCGGTTGCGTATTGGATATTGGTTATTTTTTTGCTTTATTAAGCTCAATTGGTATAGTTGAGGTAACAATAAAAGTTATGAATCTGTTACACCATTTTTTTTTAAATCAAATGTTAAAGTTGTGGTTCCGGTTCCGTTTCCGCTTCCCGTTTGACAGCCGCTTTTTCACTCTAAAACCAAATTGATCTATACAAGTATAAGTGTTAAATAGATGATAGAATTATTCGCGTGTTTTAATATGCTTCTCACTTACATCTATTTTCAGTCACAGAAAAAGAAATACGTCAATGGTGAGTATGGCCTGTGATTGTGATGAAAAGCAACTAAAATAAATATATGATTAATTCTATTTGGATATATTTGCAATCCACAATAAATACAGGCACAAAGGATTTCTAAAAGACTGTCCGAATGGCTTACTCACAGAGCAAGTATGTATTACACACACACACACACACACACACACAGGCACACACACACTCAGTCATGTTTATAAAGTGAAGCATATGCTTAAGCGGCTCCAATTCATTCAAGTCATACAGTTAATTAAGTTAATCGCCCAAATATGTGAACACTAATTTCTTGAAATGGCAACAACAACAACAACAACAACGAGAACGAGAACGAGAACAACAACAGCATTTCCTGCAAATTGTTCATGTTCGGCATCCTTGTGTGTCTAGCGCAGAACTTCCTTCTGCCAGAATGAATGACAGGCCATTTCAAATGTGTTGACGGCAACGTTTTGCTATTGCTGCTGCTGCTGCTGTTGCTGCTGTTGTTGCTGTTGTTCCTATTGCTGTCGACTGCTGTTGATAATGAAATTTATTAATGCGCGCCTCATTGGAAAACATCTCTTGGCACACACACACCACACACACACACACACACACACAGAGTTAAGCCACACCAGCAGCGACCTAATTGTTTTCCATCTCTTGCCAGGGTTTTATCAAAATCTACAAACAATTCTTTCCACAAGGCGATCCCAGCAAATTTGCATCGCTTGTGTTTCGTGTCTTCGACGAGAACAATGTGAGTATTAAGGCCATCAGCTCTTGTCCTCGCCCACCGCCATCCCCCGCAATTAGCCGACTCCCCCCAATTCTCCCCCACCCGCCAGCCATTTAGTCAGCCAATTTCTGGCCTTGCCTCGCAGCCTCCTTGACATTGCTGTATTTCGACGTAAGTCGAGCGCGAATGTTGACGATTTGAGCCAATTAGCCAAAAAATGCTGTTATATAATGAGGCAGCGAATGGTTAAGCAGCAGCCTTGGGTATACCCTTTCAAGCACTTTTATGCCAGCTAAGATTGTTATTTGAGATTTGAGGTTTTTATATACAACTCTTGAATATAATATGGAAGCATCCCTTAAGGCGAGCCGGCAATTGTATATCCAATCCCATAGAAACTATTTACTTTGAACATCTTGAAAAATTAATTTTAGAATATTACATTTATGTATTTATGTAGAATAATAAACCTATTATCAAATTGCGACAATCCAGTATAGTTCCAAGTCGATTTCGATTTGATTGTAGATTGCAAAGGAGTCGTAGCAGCCTTTAACTGTTCGTATCGCATTCATTAGAAAGTCATATGCGTACAATGCCCTATTCTTGCTGGCAACCCCTCGGGGGGGACTCTATGAGTCCCTCCCTTCCCCCAACCACCTACTCTTATTATTTATGACTTGCGGTGGAGGCGGTGACGATGGCGCCCTAAACTTGTTGTCTGGGTTCTGCACTGATTTGCCATGCTATTCTCCTCCTTCTGCCACCTTCTATTGCTCCTTCTGTTTCTCTTCTCTTCTGTTCTGTTATGTTCTGCTTTGTTCTGTTCTGTTCTGTTCTGTTCTGTTCTGTTTTCTTCGTTTTGTTTCGTTTCGTTTCGTTTCGGTTGTTTGCATTACTTTTGTGCTCGCTAGGATGGGTCAATCGAGTTCGAGGAGTTCATACGCGCCTTATCCGTCACATCGAAAGGCAACCTAGACGAGAAATTGCAATGTAAGTTTTTGCCTCGATAATAATGATAATGAGAGCAATCAGTGTCGTCATTCGTCGACTCTGCTCTCGACCTCCAATTAATGTCAATTGACATACATACATACATACATACATACATACATAAATATTTGATTTGTCCTTATTCCGTGCAGGGGCTTTCCGTCTCTACGATGTCGACAATGATGGCTACATAACGCGCGAGGAGATGTACAACATTGTGGATGCAATCTATCAGATGGTGGTAAGTAAACAACAAGTACAAGTATTCCCCCCAACCCCCCAATTCCCCAATTCCCCAAGCCACAACTGTCAATTGGTATTGTTGGTCATTGAGCAATTTATGATGGTATTATGGTATTATTTATGTAGGGCCAGCAGCCCCAGTCGGAGGATGAGAACACGCCGCAGAAGCGTGTGGACAAAATTTTCGATCAAATGGATAAGAATCACGACGGCAAATTAACATTAGAAGAATTTCGTGAGGGTAGTAAAGCTGATCCACGTATAGTTCAGGCGTTAAGTTTAGGTGGTGGTTAAACAATTCAATAGAAACGCGCAACAACTACTGTAACAACAACAACAACAACAAGAACAACAACAGCAACAGCAACAACAACATTAACAACAAGAACAAATGTTTAATAAAAAAGCAGAGCAGATCAAAATCGCAGCTAAATGTTTCTTAACCGAAAAGAACAAAACAAAACAAAACAAAACGAACAACAACAACAACAACAACAACAGCAAAAAAGCAGCGCTTTTGTTTTTTTTGGCTACCATATTACACTCTCCTACACAGCGAAACCTATATAACAATGAAACAAGTTAAACGATTAAAATAAATGCTACAAATATAAAACAACCGTTAAAGCAATCAGAATCGCCCAACAAAAGTTTCAATCAGCAAGAAAAAACAAAAAGAAAAATTACAAGAAAAAAAATTCAGTTTTCTCGATTTTGCGCGTCGATTAACATTCAAAATGATAATAATTTTTTGATATATAAGGATATGGAAAACAATTGAAAAATTCATGTACGTATTTACATATGTATGTATTCGTATAAATATATACTCACAAGATCTGTCTACAATCTAGATCGTGGCGTAGGTAGAGCGCAGTTCATAGCAATAACAAATATATATATAAATAAAAAAAACAAATATATATATATATATACATAAAATTAATTGTATTAAAAATGCGAATAACGAGAATACATTTTTGAGCATACACCAATTATAAGTAAAAAATACATCAAAATCATTACATAGAAAATATAAAAGAATAGTAAAAAATACAATAACATTCACACAAAAAACAACAAAAACAACAAAAATTAACGAACGAAGCCTTCGAGACATTTATAAAAATTAATAATAATATTAATAATTATAATGAAACTTAAGCATTCTTGATATACTACAGCAAGTAACAATGGATGAATTATATATATATATACATATTTATATATATATATATACCTCATATGGACATGCGGCAGCAACAGCAGCAAAAAAGAAAAAATAAATAAATACAAATAAAAAGGAAACGTAATTAATTAATTAATTAAATAACAAAAGAGGCATTAATCAATGCCAAGTGCAAAAGCCGCGCAAATTTAACGTCATATTTTCGGTTAGGCATACACACACACACACTTATACACTTATACACACAGACACACACAGACACACACAAGCACACACATACACCCACATGCGCAGAGATGAGAGCGCACAAAATCAGTGCTCATCTGTGTTTTATGTTTTTCGAAATTGTTTTTTTTGTTGTATTTTTGTTGCGCATATTTGACAATAGCCGCCAAATCTTCAATACATTGTTTATTATTACAATAAAACAAAATCGAATCGAAGAAAAACAGCAACAAGAAGCAAGCAACGCACATCTTCAGCAAACAAACAAACAAACAAGCAAACAACAACTGTTTAATGCTCTTGAATGAAAAAAAGCGAATACTAAGCTCAAAAAGAAAAAGAAACAACAACAGCAACAAGAACAAGAACAAGAACAAGAACAACAGCAACCACATAACCAGCTAGAACAACAACAACAACTACAACAGCAACAACAACAACAGCAACAACAGCTATAAAATATCCAGCTCTCTTTCTCTCTCTCTCTGTCTATCCTTCTGTGTGACTAAAAGCCTCGTTTGAGAGCCCAAAACAGATCCATCATGCGATTTAATTTCTATTCTATATGCGGTTCAGCTTTATTATTGCATTGATTTAATAACCCAGTTACTATTTTATTACAATCTATCTATTTATATACATATATATATATATCTATATACTTGAATACATATTTGCTACTTCTTATGGCTAATCATGCACATGGACAGTATAAAACGAAAATACACACACACATACACACAGCAACACACCCACACACACAAACACCATTTCCCATATGTTGAAATCTTACTCAATATACATTTACAGCTGTATGTGTATGCATATAATTTATTTATAGTGAAATATACATGCCTAGATTTGTAATGTCTACAAATATGCCCATATTTGTCATCCCATCCATATATACAACCATACCATACTATGCCATACCATACCATACCATACCTACTTTTTGGACTTGGCTGACACGCATTTATTTTGTTTGATTTGCAACTTTGTCTACTTTAATGAGTGGCCTTGACTTACCATTTGTCCAGTCGCTTCAAAATTGTTTTATCGGCACCAGCATCGAATCGATATACAAATATAAATTCATCCCTATATGCTTATAAGCATAAATAATCGTATAAAGTTTTCTATGCAATTTCTGCAATATTTTCTTAATTTTTTTACAATTCTTTTCGACTTACTAAGCGCACGCCAAACAAAAAAGAAAAAAACAAAAATTGAAGAAAAAACAAAACAAAAGAAGATACCGTTAATAAAAAGCAAGAGCAAACTGTCGCCTAAACTCAAAACTTAAAAAGCTAAAAACTCAAATGAAAAATAATGAAACGGCATAGATATACATATACACATATATATATGCATATAGCTATATACCTACCTATATATACTTACATGCTAAAATATACTACCTATAGTAAGCACTATAATCTAAAGAAGGTCAAATAACAACAAACAAAAAACAAACGCTTCTAAGAACCTCACTGAAATTCTTCGAAAACAAGAAATAATTATATATACTAATAAACTAACATATAAATAAATACAATACACAACAAACACACACGAGTATATGAATAAACAAAATGGGAAAATTAATAAGAAAATCGTAATCAATAATTAAATAATTCGAAAGTGATATAGCTGACAAAAAAGAAATGTGTCTGTAGTTTAGTAGTTAAACGTAAAGAAAATAAAATAAAAATTAATAAAGTAACAAATATTATATGAAATGAAATCGAAAAAAAAAAAATGTTCAATTTTTTTTCTCAAAACTAAGCGCATACAGAATGAAATAGCTGTAAATAAAACAAAAACATTCACTGTCACACGCACACCCAGACATATACACACACACACACACACACACACACACACACACACACACACACACACACACACACACGCACGCACACAGTCACAACATCACACCAGCACCCACAGCTACATAAATAAACTGAGGCTTAGTTAAGGCCCTGAAGGCCCAGAACTACAATATAAGTTTGTTAACACCAAAAATGACGGGTCTTAAGTATCAGTAAGTAAGTAAAATGTTTTTTTTTTTGTCGCCATGCAGCTAATCGAAATTGGCATCCAGCAAGGCATTGAAGTCAATTGTAATACAAAGAATGAGTAAAAAATTAGTTACCATACAAAATAGCAAATAATACTTACAAACAGCTAGAAGTAAATACAAAATAATAATTTTTTGAAATGAGCGGTGGCAAATTTCAGACGCCGTTGAAAAACATTCGAATGTCAAGTTAAACGTTTCACAAGCAATATTTTTTAAATATACAATTATATATATACATATATATATATATATATATGTGTATATATGTGTGTGTGCATGTGTATATACATATATATGAGAAATATTAATATATAAAAATATACAAGAATGTATAGCAAAATAATATACAATACATACAAAAACAAGTTCACAAATTTGACATTTGACAATTGGTAAAACAAAACAAATCAAATATTGTAATAGATATTTTATGTGCAATGTCTGATAAGAACGCAACATTTACATTGAACCGTAATAATTATATACATATACATATACATATATATACAGATATATGTATATATATATAATTAAATGAAGAAAAGAAAAAACATACAACACATTTTTAGTGATACTCCTTAGCAAAACTCAAATCTGATTTCTTTGCTAAGAAACGTTAAGAATACAAAACTAGAAATCTAATATGAAAAACAAAAACAGAAAAAAGACAAGAAGAAAAATATGAAAAACTATTTCCCTTTTGTTCTGATTTGATTTTTATAACTATTTACTGTTATTTATTATTACAACGATGATGATGATGATGATGATGATGATGATGTCTATTATGTATACACATACATACTTATATACATACTTACTTATAAACCACAACAAAGAAAAAATGCAAAATTCTTTTACCATATATATTTTTTTTTTATGTAATAAAAAACTAAAACGAAAGGAAACGAAACGAAACGAAACGAAAAGGGACAATTTATCTTGTTACTGTCAGAAATATTACTTACTTCAAATAAACATTTTAAAACGATATGCCAAATCGGTGTCTTGTGTGTAGTCCTTTCCCACAGTCTAGCAACAGCAACGGCGATGATCTTAAGTGCATAGCTACGGCTTACTGCCCATAAAAATGCACATAAGGTAAGTCCAAACATATATATATATACATATATATATATATAGAACTCTAACTGTACGTGTTCCCCAACCGTGTCACAAATCCTATCGAGGACTTACCTGAAAAGACCGCTGCGAACCGAACAGCTGTTTGGGGCCCACTTACTGGCCTGGGCACAACATAAGTCTTTTAATAGGCTCCAGTGGCAAAGTAAACCGACTACCAGCCACCAGCAGCTGCCACAGTTTCTGTTAATTCGGTTTAACGACCATCACGGGCAACAACATACAACAAACGGTTACTCGGCGTATACGCAATTTTACTTAATTACAGCTTGAATCGCATGGATTGCTTATAATAAATCCGCCATTACATAATTAATGGGGGTCACTACTGGACTGGTAAGTACTTATGAACGACATGGTAATGCCCTGATATCACGCCAAATCACAGACTAGTTCAAATATGTACTTATTAAATCAAAGCTGTCGACTTAATACGCATGGATTTAATCAACTACTGGATGCATGTTTTTATTTCATCGAGTGTAAACGGCATTTAAATTAACTCTTTGGATAATAATCCCACAGATTATCTAATTAAATCCCATTCAATTCTTACCTACAAGTAAAAGTATTTTATTTACATGCGTGCAATTATTACTCCAAGTGCAAATGACATTTCAATCATCTCGCATTTAATCTAATTCAAATAATTCAAATAATAGCTATTAGAAAAAGTATTTTATATACATTAATTATGTTGATCTCCGGAATTCTTGATTCATATATACAGCAGCAGCGGAAACCCAGTGAAAACTGGCGAGGTAGCTCGACTAGGAAATACCCTACCAGACTCTGTCTATCATCGGTTGTACAAGTCTTAGACTCACTGTAGGTGACAAGGTCTCAATATTCTTGGTAAGAAAGATATATCTTTAAAATTGTGATTTCAATTGATATTAGAAATTAATCGATTTGTATCGATTAATATTTAAAAAGCTTAAATATCAAGGCTCAGTCCTTATAAAGAGCACATGTGCCAGAAGGAGAATTAACGGACAAACAAAGTGGGTGACTGGTTGGCTGACATCGCATTGGACTCTTGTTATTCGTGGTTTGGAGCCAGTTTAGCATTTCATTCAGTTCATTTAGTATTTAGCACATTCCGAGTTCATTTCGCACATGCAGTTCAATTGGTTCAGTGGTCATTGATTTAAACGGCTCGTTTGCACTTGATTCGATTAAATGTGGAATTTTTGCATATTTTCAGTATCACATTCTCTGCATTGGTGGCTGGATTTGGAGTGCTATGGAACTGATAACCACACCCTTGTGCATAAGTTACTCCCCCTCCACCCCCTCCTGTTTTCCTCGCTGTCTGCCTGTCTGTCTGTCCGTCTGGTCTTCCTGCCTGTCTGTCTGTTTGTCTATTGTTGGGTGTGTTGTTACTAAATGTTGACATTTGAGTGTGGTCGCTCTAAGTGTGGGTGTTGGTGTAGAAATGGATGGTTTAATTACCTTTTGCGTTTGCGGTTTTCAGCTTGGAGCTGGTAAATCGAGCATGAAATACTAATGGAATCGGAGAGCGTCAGTTTTGGCATTGCGGTGCTTCATGTCACAGGCCACCACCACCTCGTGCATAATAAACTAATTGAAACAATGTCAGATTCTTACTTACTAGCTATGCAAATATCGCACTCTCTCCCCCTGTCTATGTGTGTGTGTGTGTGTGTGTGTGTGTGTGTGCGAGTGAATGTGTTTGTTTGTGAGGTTGCGCGGGCAGCATTCGGCGTCTGTTTATCTAGGCAGCCCAACTATTTATAATGAAAAGGCTGCCAAATAAAAATGAAAATAGCTTTTTCTATGGTTTTTGTATTTGTATCTATAAAATTGACGCTGCCATAGCTCGGCTGCTGCGCAGCTGCTGCTCCCAGCATTGGGTTAACAAGCAACTGAACGATACGATACGAAACGAAACAGATAAATGTTGCTACAATGAATGCAAAACAGTGCCACATGTACATGATTTTCACTCGATGAACAACAAATTCAAATTATCAATTTTACAGCAAAGCATTTCTCGCATTGCTTGCAAAGCACCTAATTCCAGCCAACCACCCCAGCACCCCGCTCCGCCCAACAAGTTCAGCTCCCAGTTCAACTAAAACAAATAAACAATAATTGGCTGCGTTCAATTCCTCAGCATTTCGTACATGCCTTCCGTTTATTGCCACTGCGACGCGTCGTTTCGGACTGCGGCAGCAGCTGCTGCTGCTGCTGATGTTGCTGCTCAGTGACGCGCTCATTCCAGACGCTAACAGCAGCACTGGCAGCGGCAGCAAGTAAGCAATTCCGCATTGCGTCCGCTGAGGTGCGTCGTTTGTTGCCCATTGAATGAGGCTCTTTTGTACACGCAATCCAATTCCCAATTTATTCTATGCGCGTTTCGAATTTTGAAGGTGCTACACAAAAGTCGACGAGCTCAACACATACCACCGGACTGAAGTGGAAGTTGTAAATGTGTACTGTATATATGCATTATACAACTTAATGCTTTACACTAAATAAGTATTTTGTTATTATCTAGTTATATCGTGGCACACATTAATCACAGTACATCTGTTGTTGATGCCTGGCAAATCATCTGATTTATTGCTGTTTAATTGATTTTCAGAAACCATTCGCATTTGATTAATTTTCACTGACCTGTTTAACTAATGAGCTCATTTATTACTGGTAGAAATTGGCAGGCTAATGTATAGAATTCCTATACATTTTCTTCAAAGTGATTTTTATTTATTTATTATGCCAAAAAGTTAGGATCGATCATCCCAAAAATACGTATACATTTATAGTCCGTAGTTTTTGAACACATGGCAGGTGTGGTTAGCTGGTTAGCTGGACTGATATAGATATAAATACAAAGCAAAATGATTGTTACACCTTGCCTTGCGTTAGTCCTCGTACATATATAATGAAATCACAATTCATGATTTCCATGTCGAATTCCGTTGGATTACACAGCGCCACCTGCCGTTGCGTAGCGTCTACAAAATTCGCCTTTGTGGCATAGGGTGTGCTGTGCATTGGCTAATTATGGTAAGGAAACTTGGGGTTTGCCATATCTGTTGCGTTTTATTGTTTTGCTGTTTTGCTGCTGTTGCTGTTGTTGCTGTTGTTGCTGTTGTTGCTGTTTTTGCTGTTGCCCCTGTTCAGCATAAAGCTCCGACAATGGGCGTCTCGTACGGGCTTAATTATTTACTATATTTGGGCAGCGAGCCCGATAGAAACTAACGATGCCAGCGTTTGCGTTCATTAAGAATTGTTGTTTCGTTAGTTTATTGCAATTAAGCATTGAGCAACAACAACAACAACAACAACAACTGTCGGCACTTGCATAAATATGCAAAGTAAATGCTCAATTCCCAATTCTCAATCTACAATTTCTTATTGTAGTTCCGCCCATGTCGACGCTGTGGCAGCTCTTCCGCTGCTGCTGCTGTTGCTGTTGCTGTTGCCGCTGCTGTTGTCGACGCCGCTGCCAACTGCTACCGGGCGGACTTGGCGCACTTGGCAGATTGGGGGCCACTCGGCAGCCGTTTGCCATTCGCACAAGTTGCATGCTGAGGCTCGATTTTGCCGTTGCCGTTTGCCGTTGCCGTTTGCCGTTGCCTTCTCATTGTTATTTTATTTTCGGCTCGCGTGCGTTGTGCATATTTTAAAGTACATTTTATTCTCTGTGCTTTCCACATTTCTTATTTGTGTGCGATTTGGTTTTTGTTTTCCTCTCGCATCCAAATGGTTTAACTTGCTGTTTGGCTGATCTTTTGTTTAAATTGTTTTAATTTAATTCTTTTCGTGGTGCCGTGCAAATCGCTAACAGTTCGTTTAGTTATTCCGCGCCTCGTCGTGGCCTGTTTAATTAAATGTGCGCGCTAACCCCATCAAGGGATTTTTTTTGGTTTTTTTTGTTGTTTTTTTGTTGTTGTATCTAAGCCAGGACATTGAAGCTGTCAAGTGTTGACTTTGTATAACGTTTGTGCGCGGATTTAATTTTGCCACACACACACACACACATACACACACACATATATATACATTTGTAATTATAATAATTAGCACTGTTTTTAATTATCATATTGAATTGTTTAGCCGCAAGCAGCGCTAAAGCCAACCACTACAAAAATAATTTTTAAAATCACTGACAACGGGCGTGGTCAGAATTGCAGACAGGTATGTTAATACACTTTCAAATTAGCCATAATCCCACCTATCTCCATCTCTTTCCCTGTTTTGCCCATGTGCATGTGTGTGTGTATGTGTGTGTGTGTAAGTGTGTGGGAGGTGTCAGAAATCTCGCGCATTTCATAATTAAATAATGATGCAGGCAATCAAAATTGTAGCAATGCACGAGATTGCACCTTTTGCCTAAACAGACAGACAGACCACTGAGAGGGGCATCGTCGAGAGTGAGAGGATGACAAAGAGATTGCAAATTGGCATAGAGCACATCCACACACATACACACACATCCACACACATCCACACACATACACACACATACTGCACATATATACATACACTCAGAAAATAAATCACCCCGATTTTAGTATATCGCCATACCTTTAGCGCCAACGGTTACTCACCTTATTATTCAGCGAGCATTTTTCTAAAGTGTTTTACCTTTCTTAATTCGTGTGTACATTTTCCTTAAAAGTGGAAAATTTGTATCTCATTCTCAGGGTGTACTTCTTTATATGCTTGCATCGAATTTTTACATTAGTTTTCTTCATTATAAAACATTAGTATTTTAAGCTTTTACTTATACTATATTATATTCGCATCATTTAATTTAAATTCAGCTAAATTCTGACATGATATAGTCGAGAAAATTTCATTACTTTTCTGCATTTCCCAATTTATTTCTTGTAAAAATAACGGGTGGCATTTCTAGTTCTTTTAAATATTTTATATTTTCTATGAAGAGATACATATATTTCTGATATATAAAAACCTTTTTTTCCCTATATTTAGAAATTATTTCTTAGAATAAGAAAACTATTCCAGTTTCCAGAGCAATTTTCGTTTCAGGTGGATTTTCTAAAAATCAGGGCGAATTTTCTTGTGGCTTATAGTCTAGCCTGCTTCCGATAAAAAAGAAAACAAATTTTATAGTTTATTTGAATTATTCCTTAAACGCTCCAAATAATGCTTGCAAATTCCTCAATCAATCAGTGAATAAAACTTGAACTTCTTTCATGTCGTTGTCTGAAGATAATTGCCCTTATCTATGCATTTATTAGTAATACTTTTATAATTTAGTTTTGGAGTTAGTTTTCACTTTTGTAAGTGATGGATTTGGATTGACTTTTTGAGCCTCCGCCAGAATTTGATAAATCAGAGCAAAGTTAATTTTGGATAGATTGTCTCTTGGACAGATGACGATTGCGTCGCTTGCCCGGTAATGCATTCGTTGCGGGCAGTTGGCCCAGCAGCAGAAAATCAATTGCCAGACGCCATCGAGGGGCTGCAGTGGAGTGGAAGAGTAAATATGGTGAGTGCGGTGGGTGGTGGGTGGCGGGGGTAGTCTGATTGGACAAATACTTACATGCCACCTCGATGGCGAGCAGGAGCCACGATAACGATGCCGCCGAGCGCATAAATGCGAAAGCATCGTTAATCAGCCATGCGGAAAGTCCAGGACAGTGGTGGAAAATGAATCTTGGCCACGCCCTTTTGGAATGGGCCACGGCGTGCAGCGCCTGATCGAATATATTGAGAAATGGTTGCCATATGGACAGCAGCACATAATCCACCACGAAGAGCATGGCGAACAGCTCAAGCAGCATCAGCATATTCCGCACCACTGCACCACGCCGCTTGATCCACTGCGGCCGATACTGGGCCAAGGTTAGCAGCAGGCCACCCGCAAAGAATATGGTTGACCAACTGAGGGCTGGCTCTTCCAGCAGCTCATCGGGCAGCTTCTTGGCATTGACTATGCGCACCACATGCCACTGGTTCCACAGCATCAGCAGTCCCGTCGTCAAAATCAGCATCGATTCGTACAAATCACGGACAAGTTCCGAGGCTCGCCTCTGCATCCTGCGCATGCTCAACGGGGTCATCGCAATCGTTCTTGAATGATTCCGGTTGAAGTTTGAGTATGGAATAGGAAATATAATCTGTTACGGAATTGGTATGAGTAACGTTTGAAATTGACATTCGATTAAAGCTCACACTTGACACCTCTGACAGTGCTATGTGATCGGATCTTTTTGATCATTTGAAGCATATTTTTACATTTTTCGAACTTCCTCAGACTTCAATTCTTATATTGACTTATTTATGAAAGATTTGGCTATTCGAGGGAATAACAACTAGTTGATCAACATACTTTAACCTCTCATCCTTGTCACAGAATCAAAGCCTTTTACGTATTTTTGGACGCATTTATTACTTGTGCACTTTGCACCTATTTATGGTTAAAGAGTAGACAGTTTTCATCTAGTAACTTTGACTTTGTCGTTGGTAATTGTATATATCTCTTATATGTATCTACATTATATGTATATATATATATATATATATATATGAGAAATTACGCATGCAGTTTGTAAAAATGTGCTGGCTCAGGGCACAGGGACTTACCAAAAAATCAATTTCTCTGTCAAATCAGTAGACAGTACATGGAATGGGGAGCGCATGGTTGTCCATAGTGGTTCCCCACACTCACACACACACACATAAGCTAACCCTTGGTTTATGGGCAAGCAAAAGCTGTCATTACACATGCTCATTGGAAAAGGAGCAGAAAAGACACCCCAATCCCTCCGACCCTTTGGTGAAAAACTACAATCCCTGACTTGGTTTTGGCTTGCTGGCTGCTCTAACAAAAGTAGTAGTTGTTCTACCCTTTACCCATCCGACGCATAGAGTGGGCGTATAGCGCACAGCTGTTCAACTTCTCTAACATGTAAATATACACAATTTTTAATATCCTTTTATATCCTTTATATCTAGATGCATTCATAATCATTTGAACTTTGCTTGCTTGCGTGATAGGTACCTGTTAGTCGAGCATACCCGACTCGACCATTCCCTGGGATTGTTGTTGTTTTTGTCGTTTCGCATTTTGTGCGCCTCATAAACGGTAGACCTAAAAGTCACCGGCGTCAAGTAAACAAAGCTGCCATCGACTACAAAAATGTCCTCGACGACGGCTGCTGTTGCCCCACAACAATTTGGGGCGCACCACACAAAAAAAAATACATATGTATGTGATTGTGTCTGGAAGCAAACAATCTTATTGCCTCATACTTCAAGATTTTCCCAATTCATTAGTCAGCTGCGATGAGTTGTAAAAATTGAATTGAAGCACTAAACTCGACGAATAAAAACTACACCAAAATAGTACAGTTGCGCATTTGTTCTTTATCATTTATATGTCCAAGTATTTGCAAGCTATTTATCTATTATTATTTTGTTTATTCTTGTAAGTAGTTCACTTGTAAGTAGTTTTCATTGCAGTGACAGTTTCTTATAGATGCACATTGAAAACTAGTCTTTTGCTCTATATGCGAAATATTTACAATAAGATGAAAAAATTTCTTATTTAAAATTGACAAATTAGTCGCCTGTCAACTATCAGTGTAGTGTGTGCGAGTGTGTGCGAGTGTGTGTGTGTGTGTGTGTGTGTGTGTGAGAGCTTCTGCGGTGGCTGTAGAATGTTCTCAATGCTATTGCCTTCATCTTCATCTTGGGTTCGGCTTGCTGCTTGCTGCTTGCATTTGGTCCTGGTCGTCGTCATATTGTGTTTGGCAAATCGTTTGCGATAAAGCCAACTACATAATGTCTCTCTGGGCCAGGGTGAGCTCGGGGCGTAATCGTGGCTTGTGGGCGGGGCGCATAAAAATGCTAAGCTAGCGCTATGCTGGCGTCGCAACGACGCAAACACCCCACTCATATGAACATCTATAGCGATGTGTGTGTGTGTGTGAGTGTGTGTGTGGGAGGGAGGGAGCGGGAGGTTAGACGCAGTATAATGCGCGTTATCCTTGATTGCCTGCTACGATAGGAGGATATGAGACGGCTGCAAACAAGCCGCTCAGCGTTGCTTATTTTCTTTTCTTTTTTTCTTTTTTTTTTTGATCATTTTTTGTCTGTGAGACTATCGTGATTTTGCTCTTTATTTTTTTGGTTTTTGTTTTTGTTTTTGTTTTTGTTCTTATGCTTTTTATTTAGCCTTTGGCCTGCCTGCTTTGTGTTGGTCGTGTACTCATCATCATTTGCCAACAGGCCAAACAAAGAACTCATTGAAATTTCATTGGTGTAACACACTGCCTACAAGTCAAGCCTAGTTGCCAAGTTGCCAAATGGCCAAGTGGCCAAGTTAGCCAGTAGCTGCCTGGGCACGGGCTTAATTGATTTCAAACTGAAACTGTCAATGATGTTGGCCAAGAGGCAGCGAAGCAACTAAACAAACTGAACAACAATTTTTAATTGTGCCCGGGCTAAGTTGCCCTCATCGTCATCGTCATCGCCATCATTGCTCAGACTGAGACTAAGACGGTGACGGAGACGGAAGCGGAGAGGGAGAGGGAGACTGCGACTGCGACTGCGACGGAGGCCAAAGGCAAATGAGCGAACGCCCCGAGAAATATGAACGAGGTCAATGATTGTTTACACTACACTCGAATTCTGTTTACCCGCTGCCATCCAGCGAACGACGCACAGTGTTAGGGATTGGTTGAGATGGCGGGACGGCAGCCCGGGCGACAGGGCGACAGGGCGACTGGGTGACCAGGCTGAGATGGGGCGGAAATGTAGACGACGACTGGGCTGAACGAGTGTTCTTGCTACTTGCTACTTGCTACTTAATGCTGCTGCTGCTGCTGCTGTTGCTCCTAGACACCTTCCAAAGGCCTCCACCTTTGGCTAGGGCCAAATGGCTCACATGTTGTTAACTGACTCTCGCTGATGCCACATTATGCCCAGCAGCACGTGTGTGCGTGCGTGCGTGCTTGTGTGTGTCCGTGTGTGTGTCCGTGCTTGTGTGTGTGTGTGTGTTCGTGTGTGAGTGTGTGCACAAACAAGCACATAAATATGTGTGCTTATATTGATTGTGCTCTTGCATCACTTACGCCGCCACGACACAGCTTTAAATAAGTAGCCTGATTACTTTCACAATTGACTGGATCAGGTGGCATCTGGTCATTCAAACGCCACACTTGCCGCACTGAAAATGTGAAAGACTTGCCATAAACATTCTAATCAATATTGCCATCCTTGACTTCAGTTCAGACAGCAGATGGCTTTAAGTAAATGCACTTTTCACATAGCTCTGCATATTAATCGGAATGCTCAGCTACACAAGACGCTTGTCGTTGATACTCCGAGGATTATATATATTTGTGGAACTGAGTTAATCGGCTGAAATATAATTTGATATTTTATCTTTTAAACACATTTGATTTATCAGATTTGTGTCTTCCAACTGGATGTGAACCAGTTTTCCGATTAGAGATTTGGATATTTTTGCAAACCCAAAAATGACTTTCTCTGAGTACATGTATCAAAGTGTTATACGCACCTAACTAACGGGATCCACCATTATGAAGTTCCGCTACGATGTCTTGCTTCCGGGCCAAATAATAGAAATATTTATTGCGCCTCTGCATTTGTATTGGTAATCATGCGGTTCCGACTCCGGTTCCAATTATGGTTTGACACATTTCTTTTGAAGAGAATATTTCAGACTCGTTTGGGTATTTATCATCATCATCTTTCGACAGAATGTGTCAATGGCAGCCATTTGATACGGTGATGAGAATATGATGTCTTTTTGTTTGTCAAATATGAGGATCTCAATAATACGCATATTTTGTGACATCTTCTTTGACAAATGGTTCATTGTGCTGGTAACTGTGCAATATAGTGGTCCGATAGTTGTAGTAGATAAGGATACGGGCAATATTTATGACAATCCGTTGAATTATGACAAAGTTCTGTCTGTGGAAAGTTCAAGCCAGACCTCAAGTTCGATTTGATTATAATTTTTACAAGAATTTCCAGCGAAAGTCATGTGTCCAAATTGACATTTTCTAATTTTTTTGTGTATTGCAAAGAACTCGTTTATTTAAATCAAGTGTAAACTCTCTGGTGAAAATGAATAGAATTATGATCATTGAAAGTCAGTTGATTTTGGGATATTTTTATATGCTTGTCATGGCGATAGATACACTGAAGTCAGGATGTACAAGGACCACTTGAGGGAACAAGTTGACAGCATGGCTTGGAGTTATGCAAGTAAATAATTGGGGGGCGTGACAATTGAAAGCAGTTCTCAATGTAAACAAACAACGCGCCGGCAAATTGCACAAGCCGCTTGTCTCTATTTCCATTTCCCTCTCCCTCTCTCTCTCTCTCTCTCTCTCTCTCTCTCTCTCTCTCTGTGTGTGTGTCAAATATTACGCATACGCCACGTTGAGCTCATCGCTTGAGTCTGGCGTTAAAGTGCGGCTCGTGCTGGCGCCGCCATTTGCTGAGTGTGACTGAACTCTCGCCCCGTGGACAGTTGTGTCCTCTGCACAGTTCCCCCCCCCACCCGGCCCTGCTAAGTGCATGCTTCAGAACACTGTTCACACTCAGTTGTGTGTGGGTCTGTTGCGTGTGTCGGTTTGTGTGTGCGAGCGTCGCTTGAAACCACTTTGCAGTCCGTCCATCCATTAATTTCCATTTGCCGAGCTGTATCTCAATAATTATGCTTTGTTGGCTAATGTGACCACGCCCACTGAATACGTTTGCATTGATGTTGAGAGCCATTTGGCAAATTCTCATGCCGCACGCAACAAATTAAATAATTATGCGCTTAATTATTTTCGGCGAGTAATTTGTATCATACAGTTCACTCTTTGGAAAATCCAAAGCAGGATGGCGAAGTATGGCGAACTTGAGGGTCTTGTCTTGTGCCTTCTCAATATTTAATTGTTTTTTAATTTGTATTTTGCAAATTCCGAAATGGCTGTTAAACAGACAGTTGGTCAGGCATTTAGTAATGCCAGATATACATAGAAGGAGAGAGAGAGAGAGAGGCAGAGAGAGAGAGAGAGAGAGAGAGAGAGATAAGCCATAACAAATAGAATATGAGTGAAATGAAAGCAAACCAAAGAAATCCATTTAAGCCTCTTGTAGCTA